CACACACACGAGACTGACCACTACAGTTCACAGACAAATGGATTGATCCGGTTGGTCTACAGACAGCAAGTGGGTTCATCAAAACACTGCGTCCGAGCATTTAGAGCATCGAAAAAGAAAACAATTTAAAACTTCCTGTTACTTGTTTGTACCGGATAAAAATGGTATGCGGAGACTATAACCTGATACATGCAAGGAATGCGAGAAACGCTCACTTTTGGAAATCGATCACGTATGATCACCCACGTGTCTGATTCACGAATAATTTGATCCGGACTCTTTGTTGCTTGGAAAAGATTCAATCCGATCCCCGGGAGACGAGATTTTGTCCCAATTCTCTTGGCCATGAGAATCGAATGCAAAAGCGAAACAGACCACCGGGTTGTCAGTAGTTTGACCGTTTAATCTGAAAAACAGATCAAAAGATATTGGCAAAAATCTGCTTATTCTGTATATATCTGGTGTGTAATTGATGAGACAATGACAATAAGGTTTATACACTCAATAGCATCTTGTATTACATATGGTTTGGCCGGTCGTTACACAAACCACGAAAGCTGTTTACACTCAGTAACATTAACACGCCGATGTGAAAAATATGCATCTGAAAGCAAACGAACGCATCACTAGCATAACTGTCAGTTAACAAACAAAATTCCAACAAATGAATAGTCTGCATCACCACAGATTCAAAGAAGATAAAAAGGGGTTTTCTCATAGAGGCAAATCTAGTGTGATTGACTGAGGTCATTAGCTGCCTGATTTCGTATACCGTAAAGAGAATAACTTGTTATCAAGCATCGCTGTTCATGATCAGTGAATCCTCACAGGTACCATTCGAGGATAATATTTCACTCCACCTCCTCCTCTGTCATAAGCACTACGCCAAGTTAACTCTTTGAGCAACAGATCAGTGTTTATACATAGGTGAAATGCAGCAAACAATGTACCCATGCCGTGTAAGAGGCGTTGTATTGATCAGTTTGAAATCCGATTGTGAGATTTCAAGTAGCGGACACGGTGGCAACCACATAAGTGGAGGTGATCAAGCGCCTAGGGTCATCCAACTTGAGATCGTACGTTCATACCTCACTAACGTCGCCCGATTTTACCTGCCCCATATACGCTCAGGTATTGCGTGGTCGGATGAAGCTCTCCATCATCACCAAACGATCAGCTACAGAAGGGTCACGGTGAGTTTTGTAACAACAGTCATCAACTCGAACTTCAAAAGGTCAAAGTAACACTATCATAAAAACGGTTTGTGTCCTATTGGGGTCGTTTCAGCAGGCCCAGTTCTATAATGACGTAAGAACAGATCTAAAAGCTCTTTCTTCTAGCCTCCTCTCCTAAAGCATCTCAACTGAGTCACTTAAATAGTATAGGAGCTGATATAAACCTGTCTCAAGCGAAACTACGGATCACTCGGTATTCTAAAGCACAACGGGTGTATTGTGTCATGCCTCATTGGATTCCACTCTGTCATCCTGGTTATTGCTTGAATTGTACATTAGATGTGCAAAACCACAAACCAATGCATGAAATTTTTATGCATTGGATACCGTTCGATGTGTGTTCTTTTCCCGAAAATCGAGGTGTTACGGTCAATAACGACCCGGGTCCATTTCGCTTCCAAGGCCAAATAAACTAGTACGATGAAGCTTTGAGCTTGTATAAATAGTCTGATCACAAGTGAAAGCTTTGACCTACGCGCAATAGACAATCAGTTCTGTAAGGCAACCATCCGAAGATCGAATTGATGCACTGCGTTGTTTATTTTTATTTTAACTGCTTTCATTGAATATACGGTAATGCAAGAGGGGAGAAGCGGACAATCAAGAGTCTTCCATACATTACGCAGAATGGAAAACGAATGGCGGTGGTGGGACTGAAACACTCGTCCTCCGGAATGATAACCCGGTAACCTTAACCACTCGATCAGCACCGTGGTGACTTAAATTCCTTATATTGATTGCTAAATATAGATAGAATGAAATGCAACAACTCTGGGGCACTGATGTTAACTAGATAGAATTCCAGAATACATTGATACTCTCGGTTCGTATAACACTACTCCATGATACAATCTGTTGTGAAAAGCATCATTCGTCTATATAAAATTCCCCCCTTTTGATTCCAAAGTTACGCAGATGTTTGATGAAATGAGTTTCACAATAGTGAAGAATCATTCAAAGTCACAGTTTTACGCATTTCTTATTAACCCGGCAAACTCTCAGGGCAAACAGCGGGTTTCGTCTAGGACTTGTTCGTTCGAGTCAGTTAGTGGTCCGTAGGTGTCATTTTTAGCGGTTTTGAAACGTTAATCGAGGATCATCCGAGCATCGAATCATAAACGAGATCCAATTCCGATTGAGTCATATCTTATCCGGAATATTATTCGCATGTTTTCGAACGCTACGATGTGAGAAATCGAAATCACAGTCCACAGACCATATGGACATTTTTTAAAACCTTCATTTATTAGTACCAGGGTGCAGCACAGCGAACTGCTCAGACACTTGTACCGCCCTTTGGCAAACTGGCCTGTTTCCAGTCCATTATTAGGTTAATAACCCTTTGATTTTGGACAGTCCAGAGCCATCATCCGTTGCATAAATATCCCGTATATTGCATCACCTCCTAAGGAAAATGATAGTATACTAATTTCTCGACAATAGTTCTCCTCGAGCACGTCCCAACTATTTCTCATACCAACCTTATTATTCCCTCAATAATCGGTCAAAGGAAATAACCGGATTGGAACCGAAAAAGATGTCATCCCCCACGCGTCGATACAAGCCAGGGTTTTTTCGCATAGGAGGATTTTTTCTTTCCACATTTCTTGTGTAATAGAACAACGTTCAGAGGCAGTAAACTAAGCAAAAATATGGACGTACATACCCACATTAATCTTATATTTTTACACCTTGAATCGCTTTCCACCTACATAAATTCCGAAGTACACGGAATTCAACTTATTTCGCTAAATAACAATAATAATTAAAGAACACAAAGTACAGTTTTCAAGTTCAATCACAGGAAACCGCGTCACGCACTTAGCTTTAAGTTAAACCGCACAAAAGTTTCGCACCCAAGCGATGCCGAAATTAAAATAACATATTTAAGCAATTTTTTTCAATTTAGTCTGAAACGCACATAGTTCACGAAGTACCTTCACAAGAGGGGCAATGTTTGGTCTGAATAGACAAGAGAGCTGAGTACAGCTCCCCGTTCTTTTGAACTCTATCTGAATGAACTAAAGTACTTTGTTTGATCGTTTGTTATTATGAATGTCCCGATCAATCGGAACTTTATAAGGCGCAATAAACAAGTGCCGAATTTGGTGAAAAACAACGATTCGATCGGATGGCATGAAGTTGTTTAGATCAAGTAAAAGTTTCAAGTTTGATTGACCAACTGGTTCGGTGGTAGTCAGACGAACATTTGCATATAACAGATGCACCCCGGTCGGCGGTACCGCTTGATGAATGAGTGCAAATAATCTGTGCTCATTCGATGCCAAAGACACAATTACAATGAATGAAGTTGAGTAGACTAGATACAATAGTTTGGAGTCAATCCCGTGATTCACAATGCTGGAATTCGATCAAGACTTCATATGAATGACTAAATCATTGTGGTTTAATTTGATCAGCCCACGCGCTGGTCTCTGCCTGTTCATGCACGTCTTATACGGCATGTTTCAAATAGAACTAAATACAGGAATCGCAAAAAATGGCTTTGGGTAATAGATACCCCGAATAATAATAATAATAACATCCGATGTGTACTGTCAGTTGTCATACCTATTATTAAGAACGAATATTCTTGAACGGAAACAACCCTCCCTCCTATATTTTATCCAAGAGTTACGAATAATAAAAATTATCCATGTCCACTACCAAACGGGATAAGCGGTGCAGACAGTTTGAGAAAAGTGAAACAATACATATACCTATTCATAGGAATGCAGAAAAGCATATACGAACTGTGAGATGCACGCATTTCATCGATCGTTACTTGAAAAAGATATTCCTATATTATCAGCGAAACAAAGACAAACGGAAGTGCTAAGAGGTGTGATCGAACGTTAGAAACTGAGAATGCAGCCACGGTCTACCAACACAAATGCCGTGGCAGACACATACTCCGGGCCAAACTGTTCAACGTTTTAAACGGTGGATTATGCATCTTAATGAGCAACTGCTCTGGGAGTTATTTTGAATGATCAAGCAAGATCTATTTCATGATCGGCTGTCATACGATTTGCTGTTCATGAATACACGTTTCTTTCAGATGTATTAGGCGGTTATTCATTACGGAATAGAACACCGGCGAAAATCAGGATAACGTTCCCAATACTTGCAAGAACGCTTCTTGAAAATTAAATAATCAGCCATTCGTCCCTTTATAATGGAATGCGTACCCGAGACGATATGCTACGGAGTAAGTCAGTAACACTGACCCTTCAGCTTGAAAAGAATGTGCGGAAGCTCATTACGTCCAGCTACATTTCCCCTCTTCAGAGGTTGAATGCAAGACCCAGATTCTACTTCTGAAGGATCAGATGACTGGTTATGGAACTTCACCTTTGACAAACAAGATAACTTGTTTAGCGCCAGAGCAGCAGAAGTTTGTCAAATTTATCCACCCAGCGGTCAGGCGGTTGTTTCTCATTGTGAATAGCTTCAGTCGAAGTTCAGTCTCCTGGTCCTCCAGGTTGAAGTTTCGACTGGAATTTGTATTCAGTCGGTAAAAAACGATGAAGGAGTAATCGATCAAAGTAAATGGGTCTCCACTTCGCTTCACCCACTGCCTTGCGGTTAGATTCTTGTTAGAACTAAAAGATTTGGACGAGAACCCTAATCGCTCTCCTGCTTGGTGGCTGCACACCCTAGCAGTACCCGTCCATCAAACTCAAATCCATGCGCAACCAAAAAATAATTTCATATTGTATCGGTTTTCGCGCAGGAGAATCACGACCACGCTGCCCATTGAATCGAGCGGAGTGGGTAGAGACAAAATGGCTACTGTTCAGATATTTCAACCTTTGTTTAATTCTTTGTCTTCAGTCTCTCAATTTTCCCCTTCTTCCAACCTGTAATAGTCCCTCAACCAATTTAGATGTCGCTCGCCAAAGGTCGTTACCAAATAGCACAGTAAGTAATGTATCACAAAACGAATTGCAGATTCGAAAGCCTCACCAATCACTGAATCTGGGGCTTTCAGCGTGAGGACGCTGAAGCAGGTAGGTCAACAAGCTTCAATACCACGCCTAACCTATCGGGGCCTTATGTGGTTCGCCACTCCAAGTTCCGGGGCTTAGGTTGCCGATTTCAACCACTGAACAGCAGGTCCTCGTGACTATGGGGTTTACCCCGTCTGCTGTTCATCGCACCTAGGTGT